CAAACTTAAAAAAACAATAAATCTGAAGCTTATCCAAAAGAATAAATAAATAAATCTGAAACTTATCAAGAAAAAACAAAATAAAACTGAAACGTTTAAAAAACAAAAACAAATAAAACTGAAACTTATGAAAAGAAGAAATGAAAGAATAAAACGGAAACCAAGGGAAAAGAGAAAAACCAAAAAATAAAACCGAAACCTATCGAAATTCCCGTCTAAAAATCGTCTGGCAACGTCACCGAGAACGCACTCGATTCAAAAGAACCGCGTCGTTGACGCGAACGAGGCGTCACCGCGGCTCGCGTGCGCGGAATTATCGAGCGAGTGGCGAACGCGTCGAGTCATCGGGTCTGGTGTCCGCCGTAGAACCGTAAACTGAACTGTGTGGTACAGCAGCACCAGTGACAAGTAGCAGCACCGTCAAATCGTCACGCGAATCTATCATCCACTCTCCTCTAATCGAGGCTCTCTCTGAACGAGAAAACCAAGAGGAATACAGCACACCGTTATGGCAGCTTGGAGAACGAACTACGACCGTCTCTAACGTGTGCGCGAGAGAGGAACGTTGAAAAGAAAGTTGAGGCGTGTGTTTACTGCGTAAACGTTCCGGCAAGATGAGAGTCTCAGCCGGTTCGCGATGACCTCTGCCGTTTCGTCGCACGGTTCCATTGCGGCCGCGTCGTGATTCGAGGGAGAACGCGCACATCTCTCCGGTGGTGGCTGTGTGCGTGATTACGTGTGTACATATTTGTGTTGTCTGAATGCGTGTGTGTAGCTACAGCTGGGAGCCAGCAGAGAAAACGCGTGGACCACGAGGGCTGAGATTGGTATGGCTACTCTGGCGGGCAGCTCTACGTCAGGCCTCTCCAGGCCACCGACCATGCTGGAGCAGCTTCTCGAAGAGATCAACTTCCAGAGGACGAAGGAGCTGCGTCAGATGCTCAAGGATGGTTCGTATAACCGAGGTCGTTTTCACTCGTTCTATTCGCTCTTCTCGTTAGAGGTTTAAGCGGCGTTTCTCACTCGAGTCTAGGAAGTACGTAGTCGGCGGCGGTGCTTTTTGGGGGGAGCGAGAGTGCGTGCACGCGACGAGGAGGGTGTGTTCCTTGGAGGGACCGGTCGCTTTGTTTGGTAGACGAGGGTGATTCCCACGATCGATGAATATTGCGAGGGGAAACCGAGGAGAAATATACTACTCGTCTGACTGGCGAGGTTTCCTTTTTCTAGCGGGGAGGATTTAGCTCGGCACTGTTTCAGGAAGGACTTCCTTTCGAGGGTGCAGAGTTGGTAGAAAGCTTAGGAACGTGTAGACTGTTATTATACATTTTTGACGATATGCCGTGGAGAAGGAGACCGAATTTTTTAGAGTGTACAGTATAAATCGAATTATACCGTTTATTATTCATTTTCGACGATGCACAGCTGAAAAAGGATCTACTTCAGGGAGAATCCTTTAGGGTGTACAGTATTGATAGAAAGCTTAGGAATAGTGATTAAAGAATAAGTGAAAATATATTATTTCTTAATCATTCCCATGAGACGCAGTTTGGAAAAGAGCCTCTGTTTCAGAGAGAATTCTTCCGGATGTACAGTATAAACAATGCTCAAAGGATAATTGGAAATATATAGTTTATTATTCATTTTCGAACACACACAGCTAAAAAGGGCTCTGTTTCTGGGAGAATTCTTCAAGGTGTACTGTATAAATAGAAAGCTTAGGAATAGTACTTAAA